ACAATTTTCAAAGAGACATTTTAAAAAAATTGCAACAAGAGGAAGTGTTTGACCTGGCTGGAGGAAAGACGGAAAGAAAGATAGAGATGAAGACAGGGGAGGGAGGGAAGTTGGAGCCGAGCAAGTTGAAAAGTATTTTTAGGAAGATGTTTATTTGTAGGTCTGTGAAACCAACCCGGGGTGTATATCTACCAGCCTTGCCATCTCTCTCCCTCTCTCTGTTACCATCTGTTGAGGTCTCTCAGCCTGTCACAGCGCTCTGGCTCTATAGGTGGGGGACACTTTGCACTGGCAGAGTTACTCTGCAGATTCACTGCAACAAAAAATGCTGTTGTTGAGCTGCTCTATGCTTTAATGCTTCACAATGGTGCAGATTAGGTGTTATTAGATTAGGTTAGATGTAATGAGATTGGATTAGATTAGGTTAGATGAGAGCAGATTATCCCTTTGGGGAAATTGTCTTGTGGCGCCAGGAGCACAAAAATAGAATACAGCAAAGAAAATAGCACATAAATTAGTATATATGCATGAATATATCTACACACTTTTAAACTCTGAATATCAGTCTGTTTTTTTTTTTTTACTTATAACATTTGACCAATTGACACCTTTTTGAAAAGAAGGATGTAAATTTTAATAAATTATAGCAACATTTTGGGAGTTTAGAAAGTCAAACAGCTTCTTTACTTTACTTCTTTGCGTCTTTACTTACTCATAGGCTGTACAAAATATATATCAACATCTGCATCATCTGTCTAGTACCCAACATTAAAGAAACAACATTGGTGCAGTCATATAAAAGCATGTATACTGAAGTACAGTCTCGAAAACACTTTTTCGAAAGACTCTTTTACAATAAAGATTTTTAACTTGGTTTCCAAGTGACTCTTATCCAGCCAACAAAGATGCTAACGAAACAGGAAGTTACTGTTTATACAGGTAAAATATAATTACTTAAAACTTAATTTATATTTTTGTATACTGAGGGAAGAACCAGAGTGACATAAGTGACATTTGACCAACTTTAAAGAGCAGCCTAAACAAAAAATGACCATACTTTGTCTTGACTTTGTTTCTTGGTTTTAATTTTTAATAATGAAACTTCAAAAAAATGGGGATGACAATATGCTTATTAAGAATTTATACCATATAATCAGTGTGTTCAGTGTTCAGTCTTTGAATGGGTTTATTATTCACAAATACCCTTTTGGCAGTTGAAATTACTCAGCAGGAGCTTTCATTTTATATATTTGCGATAAATTTCCATCCAAAATGTCCCTTTCATTCCTCTGGTTCTCACATTTGCAAATTCTTGATTCAAATTTACTATACTGTCTAAATTTCTATATTTTAATATATTTATTGCAAAAGTTGAGATGCCCTCTGTGTTTGGCTGACAATTGCAACCTTTATTTATATTTTGCTACAGCCTAAATACTTGTTCCAGCTATAAAGAAGAGCCTTTAAAACGTTTTTAATTAATTAAAGTGCTGTCAAATGATCTGTTCATTTTGTATTCATCTTTCCCCTGTGACCCGGATGTAATGTCGGATGTAATGTCAGCTAGCTAACGGCCAATGTAAGGGCCTATAACATTAAAGTGGTGTAGAAGAAGTGACGAGTTCTGGCAAAATATTTTCTGTACTACTTACCAAAATGTTTGATGCTCAGAAAAAACTAAAAGTTACTGGTACTTGAAAACTACAATAAATTATCCACCGGAGGGCTATTTTCAGCTTGAGCTCCGAGGACCCTCTGGGAGTGGTCATCCAAAATGGCGCCCGCTGCGAACTAAGCTAACAAACTGGGGATAATATCTTTCCACTTAACTAAATCATGGCGGTGACATGACAGTATGTGTGTCAGGTGAACATTTACACAGATAATAAGACGGTATTAACCTTTGCTGGTGTTGTTTCTGTCCCTGTTTTGCAGCGGCGGACGTCACCTGTGTCAGTTGACTTTTAGCTCAGATGGCTAATTAAACGCACCTGTCACGCTCGTCCTCCACGAGGTAAGGCCAGCTGGTCGCCTAGGCAACGGCTACGGTGGCTGACAGTTTCCGGCTAAAAAAAAGTTTATTTTTACGATTTTTTTATTTTTATTTTTCTATTTTTTTGTTGTATTCACAAACTAATTAACACATTAAATAAAGTATTGCTAAGCGAAAAAAAATGCAGATATTTTGTGCACATAATTTACATATATAAATCACACATAATGTATTTATTTCGGCCTAAAATAGCTGTAAAACTGACATAACTCAAAATTACATACGTTTCTTTCTCCCTTGTGTTTGTTTTAAACTTGCCAGGTTCACTTTAATGTTTTTAAAACCCTGATAAACTCATGTACATTTTATAAGTTATGATTCATATTTAGGCGAAAGACTGGGGAGGGTGGTATTATATTTAGACAGTCTTCGCAAGGCAATCGGGGGTAACTGAAAGACAACACTGAGAAAGTTCCACGGCCTAAAATATCTGCCCACACAGCTTCCAGCAGGACTGAAGTGCCAGGTGCGAGGACAGCTCAGGCACAGATGCCCAGTTTCATGTTGGGCTGTTTTAGACTTCACACAGTTTAAGAGGGGGAGGCCAGTGACTCTGGAAACATGCCATTTGTCATGTTAAAATGCATTAAAGTCACTCATTAATACTGTGAGGGCATGGGTCAATCCGTGCGTAATTACGTACGGCGGCATAAGCGCAAGCTTCTGCTCAGAGCCTCCACATCCACACCTACCTTTCTCTGCTGCTTCTCCCAGGCAGGGTCCAGCAGCAGGTCCCTGTCCCAGTCCTCCTCTTGGGTCATGTACGCCTCTTCATGGTGGATCGTGTAGGAGTTGCTGTATTGAATTTGGGTTTCGACAGCTGTCATCGTGCCGCCTTTGTCAGGACTTCACGTCCCCCTCAGCTTATAGTAAGGAAAAAAAAGTAATCAGCAATAGACGCCGCCGTGAGGGCAAGAACCACCTTGAGACGAGGGGTCTCGCTTTAGGGGGGAGAGATAGTTAGGGGCTGCAGAGACCAGACTCCACTGGTGCGAGGTGCCTGTGCGGAGGTGGTGCTCCCACTACCAGAAAACCCTGCTGGCCCGGTGCTCCTTTCCTGGTCAAAAGTGGCACACGTGACCGCACCCCAATAAGTATGGGAACCGACAGCTTGGGTATCAGGTTCTGACCCTAAAAAGGCGTAAAAGGCGGGGTAGTCTCTCGCAGGCAGAGTTAACACGCATGTTAGTGGCGAGGAGGGATGTCAATTACGCCCCTTGCGCCAGAGAGGTTTTTATGGCCTGTGCAATGCACCTGTTGCTGTTAGTGATCCTCAGTGGCAAACCCAGGCCTCTGTAGTTTCAGCCTACCTCTCCTAGAAGACAGGATCTGAAAACTAAAACTCAAATTCTACCCTTAAAAATGAGCTTGAAACATTTTCAAGAGGTCCCCCTACACCCTCTGAATATAACCCCCTAGCACTTGCTTAAAGGGTTATTTTAGTACTTTCAAACCTGTCCCCTAATTTCCCATGTTTTTGTGTCTGGGGGACTAATGGACACAACAGGTTTCACAATTTACTTCTACTAAAAGCGCTATGCCACTGACAGGCTCAGATTGTTACTACAGGTGTCTGACAACTTATGGAAAGGATCCCTACAGAGATAGACCTTTTTGTCAAAGAGTAAGATCCTTTTTGTTTAACCAGAAGCGGACCCAAAACCACCACTGCCAAACTCCATTTAAATAATCAGTAATTTAAGAACGCATAGAGTCAGCATATTTGCACATCTAACTGGATAAATTTAGGGTTTATTTCAACCAAAACAGAGCTGGTAATAATTGGAACAGTGGAAAGACCAACAAAGATGGATTTTGTGAGTTTGGTTCTGCTTCTTTTGACTTTGAATGAAGTGTGTTTGATGATGATAAAATTACTGTTTATTTTGATGGAGTCTGGTGGGTTTGATGATAGCGATTTCAGGGCTATTTCTGATTAGACAAAAGGATTTTACTCTTTAACAAAAAGGTCTATATCTGCAGGGATCCTTTTCATAATGTTGTCAGACATGTATGATAACAATCTGAGCCTGTCAGTCATGGGTGCAGATCTGATGACAAGTTTGGGGGGGACACAATCAGTTGTGATTTTTTTTTAATTGCACACGTGCAAATCATGCCCACAGAGCGCTTGAGATTGCCAGCATATTTCACGATTTCATAGAGGCTCATCACCATCACCAAGTCATTCAAAAAGCACTACAAAGAGAATCATATGCTTACCTTTACTGTTTATTTCTCTTAAACAGCCAGTAGTACATGGAACCAGCCATCACCCTCCTTTTCACTGCTTCGCTGTTAGTTAATGCTACTTCTAGTTTCAGGGTCTCAGGCATGTTATATCCACTCACGTTCTCATCTCTCGCCTCTCACGGATTCCCATTTCTCCTCATCATCTTCCCTTTCTCCCAGTATATAGGACTACTGTATACATTTGTTCAATTTCAATCATTTAAGCTATTTAGAATTGGGGGGGACAATTTGTGTTTTTCAGAATTTGGGGGGGACATGTCCCCCCCGTCCCCCCCGGGATCTGCACCCATGCTGTCAGTGGCAAAAACAAGCACTCATAGCAAACGTACATAGACGATGCTCAGTTGCCCACAGGGATTACATTGCAGCCTGTTTCACCGCTGCAGCCAGCAGCAGTCTTGTCCAGTACTGGACCGATTTCAACAATTTTTGTTCTGTTTGTCACTTAGACACAAAAATAGGAAAATAGGGTCCAGGTTGAAAAATACAGAAGGTCCCCTTTAAGTGCTGCAAAGACTGACTATAACTCACTATCTTATTCCACAGGCTGCAGGTAAATACATTCATTTATTCTGTTTATTTTCTATCATAAACTATAGCACAATGTATTCAGTCTATCAAGAAATATTCATGACATTCTGTGTTGTCTTAAAACATAAAAACGATCAGAATAAAAGACATTCAGGCACTTTTATGAGAAAAAAAAATGAATTTATTCATCAATTGCATGCAGACTGAAAAATGCCTCAGTACATTTTAAGAAATACAGATCAAAAGGTATATATTCATATATGCATACACAACCTTACAGTATAATTTGTTTTTATATAAGGATTTGTCATTCACAGTAAACATGTCGACGCAAAGATTTCATCTAACATTCATCAGCTAAAATCCCCCCCCCCTTCATCCCATTCGACTTTGTGCTGGAACAGATTCCTTGACATTAACAGATCAGATTACTAACCTCTCGAGGTGACACGCTATTCCGTCACCCCTGATGTGTCTTTGGAAATTAGAATAATGTATATTATAATTAACCAGGCATTTAAATGTAACTACACTCAGCTTGGTCCATTAACCTACTTGAAGACGCTTAGCTACTGTGTGACTATTTGTGGTTACCATTAGGTTCATTACTGTGCTACTGAGCTGAGGGAATTGGATGGGGTGATCACTGTAAACATAATATGCGAGTTTTGAAAATGACATGGACCACGGAAAAATACTGACTCGGCCTCTGGTGGCTTTTAAACATACATGGACAGGGGGTGGACAAAACAACATGAACACCTGACAGTGTAATGCAAGACAATACGCTGCAGCATCAAGAGCTGCAAATTCTGATACAAATTCTCAACAGAAATTAAACATAGTGAGCTTCTTCATGAATGCAGGGATGCTGTATTGAAGTGCATTAAATTCTGCAGGTGTTTAAGTTGTGTCAGTCCCCTGTAGATGAGGTAATGGCTGAGGTATGACTCTTCTGCCAGCGTATTTAGCAGCAGTAGAGTCACATACCTGTAATTCACATCTGTGCTAGAAGAGTTAAAATAGTCAAGGTCACATTGGCTAAATTTACTAAATCTCAACTTGCAAACTCAAAAGGCAATATGGTTTATGGGGTTGTGCTCAGACCAGAGTGGAGTGTGTTCCAGGTGCACACACTTGCACATCTCAGCTGCAGGAGGACAGATGTAACCTGTGGGATCCCGTCAGAACAACACAATACAGAGAGGTGTGCACAATAAAGAGCATCTATAGTTCTTCAGCTGCCCAAACTGCAGGAGGCAGGCGGGAGAGTGGGTGAGGAAGTGGAAGTAGGGGAGGAGGCTGCAGCGAGCTGTGGCTGTCAGTACAGTGTGACTGTGAATTCAGAGCAGGGGGGTTTAAAGAGATGCGTGGCTGCATTCACCCAAGCACGGGAAGCCCAGACTCGCAAGCACCCGAAGAAGCCTGAAGTGAGGAGCTGGAGAGTAGGGAGGGTGGGCTGGCTGGAGGGGAGAACAAAACTGGAGAACCACGGGCCCTGATCATGGAGGCCAGAAAGAGGGCCGGCCATTTATCTACTCATTCTAAAGGGCCGTCCACACCAAGAACGATAACTATAACAATATATAAATATATTGTTTTAAATACCATTCCAACTCAAGTGGATGATGGAGTCCACCCCACACCTATGACAACAACGACAGTGGTGAATGACATTGTTGGGATTACTTCCAGAACAATTTGTTGAATGACAGAAACACTGACAGCATTTAATAATCCACCTTAAGTTATTGCTGACACATCTGAAGCGCACAGCACGTGCTTGGCGCCACCATTTACAGAATGTTAAAGTCCATCCATGTGGATGCTCATATTGTTATCCTTACATGCATACATGCCCATACACATCAAACTAACATAAAGTGGCAAAGGCTGTTGCCTCTCATTGCCCATCTCTTGGCCAAAAAATTGCACATGAACAATGGCTAAACATGTAAGATTCTTTTGACCTCATACCCTCTTCAATTGTTTACTTTCCTCACCTCCGTTTCTCTTCTTGTGCACTGACTTTAACTGCCAATCAGATAGATTTCACTAACAACCTGGCTCCGTCAGTTTCGATGCCAATTCCACATGCTGAATTGGATGAAAAACAGCCCACAAGGGCCGACAAGTGCCAACAGCATGGGACACACTACAAAAACTCGGGTGGCAGATGTTCACAGACGACCTGACATTGACTGACTATCAGCTTGGTATGTCAGGGCCCTTACAGTTACCGTTATCCTGATTGCTCTTGGTGTGGACGACCCTTAACAATATTGTTCGCCACTGTCATTGTCGTTATAGTTGTGCTCATGGATGGGCTCACAAACAAGCCTACCAGGCACAAACCCAGGGGCCCAAGGTGTCAGGGACCCCCTTGGCCTCCACCTGCAAAATGTCACCCAAATTAACACATATGTAAATAAAGACAAGTCTCTTCCCAACCACGAAAAGACGACACAAAAAAGACCACAAAGAGATACAAAGGAACTGCAAGGAGACACAGAGTAACTACAAAAAGGGGCGAAACAACTACAGAGATACATGAAACGACCAAATAGACACAAGAGTCCCTCAAAGACGCACGTAGCGACGACAAAGAGACACAGAACCACAAAAAGATGCATAACGAAAGGAGACACAAAACAACAAGGAATTAAAGAGGGACAAAAAGTCTGGTGTCTTGCTCCTATGTAGGAAAAGAGGTGGGACCTTTTGCATATCTGTGCCCAGGGGTCCACTGTCTTAATATCCGCCCATGCTGGTGGTGTGGACTCCGTCATCCACTTGAGTTAGAACAATTTCCAAAACTATATATTTACAGTTATAGTTCTTGGTGTGGACAGCCATTAATTCTAATAAAAACTGGCTTGGAGTTGGACTGTTTTTCCTGACTAGAATGGAAATATTGTCTATTTTCTTGGGCACATACAATGTCTGTAAATGCACAATTAGTTTTGGTGGAATTCTACACTTTAGCAAACAAAGATGAAGGGTATCCAAGAAATGGACACCTCAGAGTAAAGGCTGCATTATAAGGATACACTACGGACAATATAAGATGCCCAGTGTAAACAAGGACCTTTTCAGAATACGATTCTGGTCATTATATCTATCATAGCAATCAACTACCGGGCCCTCCAAGATCAGGAAGGTGAGGTTAGGGAGCAGCTTTGGACAGAGGATCCCTCCACTACCAACTCACCTTACACTCAACTCATCTATCCATCCCTCTCTTCCTCCTTTCGCCCCTTCCCTTTGTTTGTTAGGCAGACAGAAGGTAACACCCTCTTTGTCTTTGACTCCATCCTGCAGCTGTCAGAGCAAATGCCGATCAACTGGTTTGACACACCGAAAGCCCGTGAGTGTGGGATCGTGTGTGAGGGTTAATGCTCTCTATCTCAGCATATGGACAATCTTAACAGGTAAGAACACATACAAGACAGTCAGAGCTCATATCCAGCCAGTCCAGCTGATCCCAGTATTAGAGGAACAGAGCTGCCGTACCAGAAAAGTCCTATAGGAACCCTGAGATTGAGAATCTACAGGTCAGACTGGCCTCATACCTAGACCTATCTTATAGGACGTTTCTGATTGGCACACAGGCTGCGAGGGACCCAAAGGCGAGAAAATTGTTTAGGTTACTTAAGATGTAATGGAGCTAGGTTCTTTTGGGGATCCCTTACACAGCCATGTGGCGCAAACCCAGCATTCAACAGTTTTAGCAAAGCGTCTTGTCCAACATTGAAGTCTCTCTGTGTCATGTTACTGAGTCCGGCGGGCGGGCCACCACACATACACTGTCCATTGGCACGCCCAGGCCTCTATGGTAACAAAGGAGGGTGGGGATGTTGGGTCAGGTGGGTGGTTCTGGGAAGTTGAGTCCGAGCCAGAGCCACGAACCCAGATCCAAGGTGGCGACGGCGGTGGCGGCGGAAAAAAGCGCTGTGTGTGTGTGAACGGCGGAGAGGAGAGGCGCATAGGGACAGTAGGGTGGAGGGTGAGAAGGAGGAGGGGAAGGGTAGGGTAAAAGGAGGGAGGGAGAAGGGGTGAGGGCGGCGAATACGGCGGTGGAGAGGAGTTGACTAGCGGGCAGGGAAGGGGTAAGGGTTTGTCCGCATGTGCCAAGCCTCACCAATCTATAAGACACCACCCAAAAAGTTCTTCAGACATCCATGCTCCCATTCTGTTTAACACATACACTCTATCACACTTCCGTTTAATCACTAACTCAGACACCAGCGGGACAGAGAGGGCAGTCGCATTGTGTGCTGATGTGAGACAGGACTGTCTTGTGGAAGGGATCCTAGCCCCACCCCAACCCCACCCGCCACCCGCCACCCCCCACCGATGGCACTGCCATTGCAGCAGAGGAGGAGTTACGGAGCGGGGAAAGGGGAGGGGAAGTGGTGATGGCGGAGGAGAGGAAGGGGAGGAGTGTTTGGTCAAGGCACAGTCAAAGGAGGGGGCGGCAGGTGAGGGAGAGGAGAGGTCAGTGCTTTTGTTTTTTGTTGTTGTCGTTTTTCATTTACCTTGGTGGTGAGGAGAGAGAGAACAAGTTCCCACTGCGGTGGCGTCGCGCTAAAAGTCGTCCCCATGGCTCACGCCACCACGCTCACGCACGGCTGCACGCTGGCCGTTCCAGGTGGCACGGTGACCTAATTCAGTTGAGATAGTTAGTTCAGAGCTGGACTGTCGGGGGCCTTTTTTTTTTTTTTTTTTTTTTTTTTTTGCGGCAGAGTTACAGATTATCACACATGCAGGTTCTGAGAGTAGAGTGGACACAGAGACACACGGAGGGGGGAGAATTTGGTGCAGCAGGGGAGAGACCAGACCAGACGCACACCCATCAACCCCAGAAACAGGACTGCTCCACAGATCAAAATGCACCCAGGCCATTCTATCTGTGTGCCTCTCCCCAGCTCTCAACATGATGCCATAATGTGCGTACAATCAATTAAAAAGGGCCGTGTCTTGATAGAATTAAATACTGAAGTGTATTTGGTCAAGTGCAAACCCCCTCATACAAATTTTGGCTTGCACCCAGTTTGAGAGGCTGGAGAGAGAAAGGAGCACCAACCCGCACTTACCCTGACCAAAGAGAGCAAAGCTGGGCCAGCATCTACACCTGTGTCCCCCTGGGTCCCCAGTCAAATGGGTCTGGTGGTCATTTTACACAGGAGAAACAGATAGTGGAGAAGAACAACATAAACAAGAAGGGGAAATGTCCAAACCCTTTGCTTTCTTTTTAACCACAGTAGTCAGCCAAACATTCTTTATTATAATAATGATTATAGTTTACATATTCTCAATAAAAAGCATGCTGATTTTTAATTCTTTTTTTTTTCTCTTTTCCTAAAAAAAAAAAAAAAAGGCAAAATTAAAATACTTCTCTAAAAAATACGGTCTCAAACATGGCAAACAAGACATTTCGCAAACCACATAATTCTACAAAGGATGCAACTGGTATGTGTTCGTATATACAACACAGAGAGATTACACTGTGAGATGCAAAAGTCACTTAACCACTAAAAACCACAGGGGGAGAGGGGAAGAGGGGAAGAGGGAAACAGCGAGGCAGTAAGGTGATTTCAGAGGGTATGTCTGTGTGTGCATCAGACCGCTGTCAAATAGTAGTTGCAAAAAAATTCCCAAGTGATTGTTTGAAAGGTTCTGTACGTAACTTCTTACATGTATTAATCGTTTTTCAATTCCAATGGCTGACTGGATTTTAAGTTGAAAACAGACCTTCCCCGACTTTCTAGGTTGCCTTTAACAGCATGTGGACTGACTTCTATGTAAGGGACCTTAGCCAAAGTTTCCAGGAAAATCTAGAGGATGTGATGAACGTTAACCAAGAAATGCCTGTCTGGCAGAAAGCCCTTTGGGTAAACTTCTCCCAACAGCGTGCTGCATCTCTCTATAGCTTCGCTACAGCACTACAATAAGCAGCAGTAGCTAACGTATGCTTGGAAATGGCGTCCGCTTACGTCAACAAACGACGGGGACCCACCACAACACAGTCTACACATGCTGTGTTTCTATATGTTTTTCAGGGGCAGCCTGTAGACGGACCTTCGCTCACCGCTTAGGTTTGTGCCGGCTGAATTCGAGTTGTCACAACCGCTGACTGGAGGTCCGTGTCTGGAGCTGCCGTCCACGTTCCTCTGAGTGAAATAATCTCAGAGTGGTGGGCAGTGAAGCGAAGAGACAGGGGGTTGTGCTAGCTAATTTTTGTCTTATTTGTAGTCTGATAAACAATTCAAACAAATTAAGTGCCCGCCGGTGATGAAAAAATCCCAGAGAACACACTGACATATTAAATGACACTGTAGTCTTAGCTGGCTAATGTTCGCTAACTTTAGTTTGCTTTCTAACGGGGATGAATTGCTAGCTAGCAAATGCAACAAAATATTGTACTGAGTGGACAACGTCAGCCAATTCATCCAGATTCCCGGGGTGGGTTTGCAAATTACTTTATCAGCCACAAGTTAAGACAGATCCATGCAGAGTAGCTAAGTTACACCTAGCTGGGTTGCCAATCGGCTAACCGTAACAAGTGACCGTTGATAAACCGAGATGGCCCACTAGCAGCAGTACTGAGCCTGTTCATTCCAATGGGATAAGTGAACGTGAGTACAGATAATGACCGTTTCCTTCGCCCAGTAATCACTGAAGTAAATACTGAACCCATTTTTCACAAGCCTAAACCCTTCTTAACGTCCTGACACTAAAATAGTGCTTTTCAGACAGACATATCAGGAGAAAATGCGCCAGACATGCCTCTGTTTTAGTGGCATACTCTTGCGAGATCAGGCAACAACTGACAGGTTCGAACCCTTGGTTGATATCAGACATTAAGCTAGCAGATAAAAACGACGAGTGGCAAAATTAGGGAAAGAGAGAGATGGTCCACATGGGGGACTGGAAGTGTGTAACATCTCGTACTATTGGCACAGCCAGTAGTGTGTTATCTTTTGTTAGAGTATCTTTGGCTTAACATAAGCTAAGGTTAGCTGGCTAGCTGTTAAGCTACGCTGCCTGGATCTGCCAATGGTTGCTTTTGCAGTGTCAGCTGATGAAGTATTTTGCAAACGGCTAACAAGCTAGTTAGTATTATGGAGCCAATGGTCCAAATGAAATAGGGGAACATACAGATCGTAACACTACTTTAAGATGCCAGTCAATCATGGTCGAACTTTTGTGGCCGATGCAGGTGCTCGCTCGCGGCTATGGAGGACTGCAGTTCACTTCAAGCCTCAGATTGAGGTTACACTAAAAACAAGAATTTTTGAGAGTTACATACAGAACCTTAAAGTGACTGTAGAACCGAATGGGTGGAGTTTGCCACTCGGGACAAGCTTGTGAATGTCAAGGTACCTGTCCTTACAAGTTTTGTTATCCCGCTGCAGCGAACCCCACCTATACCGGATCCAACAACCGGATCAAAACAGACACCAAAATTTCTTTGCAATTACAATCTGAAGCAGGTCTGGTATTTGGAGAAAAAAAAGTAGGACAGTCGGGGCAACTGGAAGACACTTCCCCATCTCTCACTTCATTGGTGCTATCACTGTCGTTCCTGCTTTAAACCAGCGGCTAATTATGAACCTGTGAGGCTCAGTTTGTGGCTTTTTAAAAACCCTACGATAAGAAACTAATCTAATACAGGAGTGCAAGTCCACGAGAAAGCTTCACCGCTCGTAGCCTTCTGGATACAAAGCTCCGAAGGGCTCCTGTCACCCCCCCACCCCCCTTGAAATGATTAAAAAGCACTTAAAATGGGAGATCCCTCCACTTAATGCACTTCACTCAAAGCTTATAGGCACATTATTGAGCTTGTCACATTTCATGTTTCCTAATAGGATGCAGTGTAAAGATCCTTTGTAAACAGCTCATTCAGTAGTCACACATGGGTTTATTTTTTATCCATTTACAACTCATTACACCCCAGGCTGACTCGTATCACATGTAAATACACTAAAACAAACAAAACACATACACTATTTTTAAAAAAGGCCTCTGGATATGTAGGAGGACTTCATACAGAGTATCTACAAAAGTCATTGTCACCGAAATCTGGCTCCTCCCTTCCTCAACTGCTGACCCTGTGCCTTTACGAGGAGCAGGAACTAAACTGCTGACTGGGTGAAAAGTGTGGAATAGAATAGACTCTACGCTGAAATTTACTGTCAGAGGTAGGCAGCTGTAGTTAGAGAGAGAATGAGAGGTGAGGCAGTGTCTTCCAGTGTTGAAGTTAGAGTACAGGTGGGGGAAAAGGGGTCAAGGAGAGATCCAAACATACATTACAGTACGTATTATGTGTGCTTTACGTTTTTTTTGTTTGTTTGTTTTCTGCAAAGCGCAGTCTAAGCTGCTGCGTTTGTGTGCTGCAAGGTCAGGAGCCCGCACATATCTCTCTCTTTCACACTTACTACATCCATTCAAGACAAACACCCCTCCCCCCACAAAAACCTTGGTTCTGTTGGACACAATGCAGTGCAGCCTGTACACAATATGTGATTATCTGACTTCCCATCTGGTTACATTACAAACTCTCCAACATAAGGCAAAAAAGGTTTCAAATTAGCTGCCCTAACTGATCATCTAGGCCTAAGGAGGATGGCTGATAAAAACCAATGTCTTTTATCGTAGGTTTGGCCGTAGAAAATCATAACTGGGTTGCGGAAATAAAGGCATATGAAACGACCGACTGGGTCGGTCTAATACTGGCACAAGTGTGAGACTGGCACGATAAAAAAGTAAAACTGAGTAGCACAAAGAATGCCCACATGACAGATGAGAGCCTCCCTTTCATGGCTGCACTGTGTGTGTGTGTGTGCAAACAGGACCAAGGTTATGCTGACCAAGTCCCTCGTAAAGCAGGTTAATAAACCAAATAGGCCCCCCCCCCCAGTTTCAAACCCCACCCACCAAACACACATTCACATACACACACATACAGCTGCTGTAAGGTGGTCAAGTTTGGGGTGGAAGAGGAGATGGGGTTCAGGGCAAAGAGGGAGGGGTGGGGGCAGAGAGTTGTGTGCGACTATCGGAAGGGGGGCTCAGGCGTGTGAAGGGAGAGTTCGGGGCGGCGGAGGATGGCCTCCTTGCGCGTGGGCGGCGGCAACGGCGGCTCATACACCCTTGGTGCAGCCATGGCGGCTGCCACTGCCGCAGCGGTGGGGACCACTGGCCTGAGGGCATCCAGCGCAGCGACTGACTGGGCGGACATCGCGGAGACTGTAGGGACTGCTGACACGGCTGGCACTCCTGGCATGCCAGGGATGGCTGTCACTGCGCTCGGTGGTGGGTAGGCATACTGGAACTGGGGGTACTGCTGCAGCTGCTGGTAGTACTCCGCATAGTACCTGAGAAAAGGGAGGAAGGAGGGGTGGTAGGAAGAGGAGGGTTTAAGTAGGGAGCGGGACGGGATGGGCGACACAGTGGGAGGAACAAGAGAGCGATAAAACAAGAAATGTTTCCATGGTGCTGCACAGCTGATGGTAAAAAGGTTTAAAGATCATGTCCTACCTGGCCATGGGGTCCTCTGCAGCCTCCACTGCCTCTTCTGCCGCTCGGCCAGCTGGTGTAGGGAGCAGGGGTCGGCGCGGCTTGGCTCTCTGGTACATGAACGGCTTCATCACTGGGTCTGGTAGCAGAGGTACTGACCTCCGAAGGGGACTCCGGTCCCTCTCAGACTTTACCACAGCTGCTGCTGCAGCTGCAGCCACCGTCTGCTGGTCAGCCACAACCTGCTGGCCCTGGGCAAAGTAATGTGCCTGTCTGGCTGCCTCAAAGATGGCTGTGGTAGGGTCCGCTGCTCCCATGGCGCTTATATGAGCATACGCTGGTGTGGCGGCACCATAAATTGCTGGAGATACAGTGTAGGCGGGGTTGACCGCAGCCGCTGCTGTTGGCATTTCTAACCCATGAGCAGCAGTCAGGTAGACATGGGAGTTGGCCACAGTTGGGGTGTAAACTTGAGGTGAGTATGCAGCTGCGGCGGCAGCCGCAGCAGCAGCCGCAGGAGTTGCAGCCATCTGGCCGTAGATGTTGGGGGTCATTGAGCTGTACATTTGGGTGGCGCCTGATGTGAGAGCTGCCTGATTGGCCACCGTTCCATAAAGCTGGCTGGCAACATTGGCACCATACACCTGGCTGGCAAGGGCACCATAGACTGCTGGATTCACTGGGTTTCCATCAGTGCGTGTGCCCGTGGTGATCCCAGTGAGAGCTGCATACGTGGGATCAAAGGTGGAGGTGTTGTAGACTGAATTGTGCACACTTTGTTGGACCTGTAGCGGCAGGCCGGCGGCTGCAGCTGCAGCAGCAGCAAGGACTGCTGCCTGACTCTGGTACTGTTCCAGAGAAGGCTTCCCGACAGGACATTCTCCAGCATAGTGACCCTGCTTTCCACAGTTAACACAGGGGATTTTTCCTGTAGGTGCCTGCTTGCTGGGCTGGACTTTGGACAGCTCTACAGACAGGGGACGGCCCTTAAACGAGGTACCATGCAGGGCCTCGATGGCCTGGAGCGCGTCTTCCTTGTTTTCCATGTGGACAAAGGCATAGCCTGCGGAAGAGGAATGCCTGGCTGTCATTGAGCGCAGGGACAACAGTTAGGATCACAGTGGCATTGCCACGGCCACTTATTACTTCTACGAAAAGTGTGCCAAAAGAATCAAACTTGTCCATCTTTACAACAAGAATGTGGGAGTTTCTTGTTTTGCAAATGTTTCTTGTTTTGCAAATGTGCAGGTGTATCATAACTTATCACATAGTCAGATTAATTTATGCAAAAGAACTCAAATTCCCTCAGCAACTCAACATTTGGACTGTTAGATACTTTCTTTACCTGCTTGAAACCATGACTTCTCATACACTAGCTCCACAACTTTACTAACAACATGCACAAGATTTAAAACAATTCAAATATTACTAGAGCTTTTACTCACCTTTGACTTTATCGCACTCAAGAACTTTTCCAAATGTTTGAAACAGCTGCTGTAGATCCTCGGTGGTGCACATCCCACTCAGATTACCCACAAACACCTTGGTGGAGTGCAACGGCCTTCCCCTCGACTCCTCCACCACCAAATTCCGTCCACGAAACTCCCGTCCATTGAGCTCCCGGATGGCACGCTCGGCAGCACCCTCGCCCTGCAGGTGTACGAAGGCGAACTGTCGCAGCACGCTGCAGCTGACCACCTGGCCGTAGGGTTCGAAGATGGCTGACAGCTCCTCCTGGGTGGTGTCCAACGCCAGGTTGCCCACAAAGAGCTTCACTGTATGGCTCTTGTCCATGGCGCTGCAGAGGAACAGAGGAGTGATGTACTTGAGTGTGGTTAGAGATAAGAGAGGGGATTAACTGCACAGCACAACAATCAGCTGCCACAGATGTAACAACTACTGACGAGTGAGAACAAAGCCACACCTTTGACTCTATGGTAGTCTGATGAGGACAGGGAAGTACTGGAGAGCAATTATCTAAATACAGGGTGGACTGCAGCACACAGGGACATAGCTGACATCTGTGAGGAAGTGCTGCTGACTTTGAATTTGAATTTAAAAAAAAAACAAGACTTACAAGCTTCATTTCTCCAATAAGAAACTCCTGTATATTGTCCAGAAATAAGGCAAATAAAAGATTAACAATGTAGAGATTAAGCACACAGTGTAATCAACCAATGCTGCAGTAGCACTCTTGATAAAGAACCTGAGTGAGCAGCCAGATTAACATGCAAATATCACAAACTAAAAACCACAGACCTCACATTTGCCTGTGAGCTGGCCATTCAGATCAGATAAACTCAGACTGTGTCAAACAGAGCAGGAGAACGTGTGTCCATGAATAAGAGCTAAATCTTTTCAGTATATATGCGACGGAGCGAAGGCAGTTTGAAGGAGGACTTCATTAAAGAGCTCACCTTCACTTGAGAGGAGGCTGTAATTACCCTTATAGCTATGACTCACACTCTGACACAGGAGACAGCCAGAGGAAAGGAGCAATTTCACACCAATACCTTCGGATAAGGACACTGCGCGTCAATGCACATGGCATTTATATTGATGATCATGATACAGAAAGGCCCCTCTGTGTTGGAAAAGCTGCCTGAGAGGGACAGTTCACCCCAGAAATACATATTCTTCCTCTTACCTGTAAAGCTATTTATCAGTCTAGATTGAGTATTAAAGATATCATCCGCAGAAATGTCTGCCTTCTCTCCAATATAATGGAACTAGATGGCACTCAGCTTGTGGTGCTCACAGTGCCGAAAAAATACATTTAAAATCTCAACAGCAATGTCTCTTTCCAGAAATCATGACCTGGTTACTCAAAATAATCCACAGACCTTGTTGTGAGCAGTTTCATGTAGGAACTATTTTCTTTCTACCAAATTACAAAGTCCAAGGAACCTCAGGAACGTCAACCTCAAAATCCAAGATGGCTGCTCCTTGCATCAACCCTCATGAAAGCTGTAGTATTATACCCTTTATTAACGTTGTCATATTTGTGTCTCATCAAAACAGTCGTACACACATTACTGTCCAACGTCTATCCATGGACATGATGCTAGGGTGTCTGTGCGCGCAAAGTACAGCATAATGAATTGTTATCAACTGGTACTGCTAACACCATCTTGGTTTTCGGACTTGTTATACAGGAACGCAGTCAACCCAGGTGTGAGATCATTAAATTATTCCTAGCTCCGAACTCCAACTTCCAAGGTATATGGTACACAGCATAGCTAGCTCAGTGGTGCTAGGTGAGCTAGCAGTAGATGCACGCTTCCTTCTGTGTGGTGCTATGGTTGGTGGGTGGTAGAGAGAAAGTAGTTCCTACATGAAACTGCTCACAACAAGGTCTGTGGATTATTTTAAGTTACTTGAGTCATGAGTGATGAATTTACTTAAGCCAAGTGCCATATAGTTTCATTAGGACCCTGACACGCCAAGCCAATAGTCAGCCATCTACCAATTTCAGGGTGTAGGTCAAAGTCTACGCCAAAGTTTTTGCAGTGTGCACCGCACTGTTGGTACTAGTCCGACCTTATCTGCTTTTTTTGGGCCAATTCAGCATGTTGAATCGGCATCAGAGATGGCAAAGCCCTTTGGTGAATTGACAGTTCAGCTCAGTGCACGAAAAGAGACACTGAAGTGAGGAAAGTAAACAAATGGATTAAGTCAGGTCAAGGGTGCCTGAGATTGAAACACTCTTGTTCTATGAGGTTAGATTACTTTTCTAGCCACTGAGCTCTTCTGCAGAATCAGGTCAAGATTGTTTGTGTTAATTGTTCACTAGCACACGGTAGATGTCATTTGTTCTTTCAGCATCAGGTTGTGTTGTTAATGTGCTAACTAGCTAACTAGTGACTAAAGGTGCTTTCACACCTACCCTGTTTGGTTCGGTTCAATCAAACTCAAGTTATTTGCCCCCTAAGTGTGGTTCGTTTGGGCAGGTGTGAACACAGCAATCGCACTCGGGTGACAAAATTAGTCCCTGATTCGGACCAAAGCGAGCAAATTCTAGGTTTGAAAGCTCCCTTAAATTCGTCTTCTGGTTTCCCTTTTTTGAATGACGAATACAAACTATGTCTGCTGGTACAAAGTGTTTTTTCCGTTCACGCAGGCGCAGAGCATATGTGCGAGGCGGCAGTCGGCTCTCGTCTTTGCGGTGTGATAAAAGACACTGACGACGTGAGGCAACGCAATAATCGGCATTTGTCACCACTAGTTCTTTGACGTCTGTTGGTGCGGTGTGTCTTGGCCTTTATATTCAAGAAACCTATATCTCCAATACTCAGCAGCTCACACCAAAACAATCTACACTGATTAACAGCACTACAGGTAAGGACAAAATGTATTTTTGATTGATTTTTGAACTTTCCCTTTAACTTTGCTCATTTACCTCCTAACTCCCTTCTGTATCTACAAGTCTACTAAGCGTGGAGTGTTGCCACAGGTTGGACGGCACCTTTTCCTCCTCCTGAACAACCTTTACAGCTGGCTGTAAATCAAAGGGCAAACTGGAACATGACACCAGAGAATGACACTTCTATTTTTTGGTTTAGGCTCCAGTCAGCTGCTCCTGACTGAACTGCACCTCCTGTGCTGCTGCTGATAGGGAAAATAAGTGATCAGCTTCAGTGTTTTTACACCACATATGAGTGTACCCCTGTGTTGCATATGGCTGCTGCATGAACACTGGGTTCATGTGAGGCATAACAAGGGGGAAGCTGGTTTTCTGATGACGCAGCACGGCGCTGAGTCAACACATTTCCACAGCTCGGGTGATTTTAAAAGCGCAGAAAAAGACGGAAAAGACACGAGTTAAGTTGTTCGCACAGCTTTAAACGTCTGTGTGAAGACGAAAACGAGAAAGGCGAGACAGGATGCTTGTTGGTTTGGCTCCGGTGTCCAAAGCAAACAAACCCAAACGCGCAAAACACGCGTGAGGAAAACATTAAAACACTTTTACTGTGAAATGCGCAACAATGTTAAACACACACTACAGCTGGCTCTAACAGGAGATCAATACAGTGTAACAACAGGCACATTTCCCCCGCACAGGAATGAATACAGTGTAACACCGAGTGTTTCCCGTGCAACAACACGGTGTAATAGTCTTTGTGGCTAAAACACACCCGTTAAAAACACATGAGCTTTAAGACGAATTGGATTTATTTACCTCCCATGCGGCTCAGATGAGAATAATACTGCAGAAAAAGACGATTAAATGAAAGGATCTACCATCTTACCTAGGCGGTGCTGTATTTCAAAATGGTAGCGCCTGCTTCCGTTTGCATGTCGGGCATTCTGCTGGAGAGGCTGCAGAGGGGGAGGGCTGCTGCTGCTGCTGCTGCTGCTGGGGCTGCTGCAGCACCAGGAGGATGCTGAATCCTCACTAAAATGACTCTCACACACACAATACACAAAGCCAAGTACAAGCATGTTTCATTTGTCAGAGCCACTGAGAAGAATAAAGGCTGTCTCAAAGCCACAGTGGTTCTGCTCCTGAGGGACTGGGAACACAAGTGTGAGGGTGTGAGAGTTGAATTAAAGAGCTCATTATGGGCCATGAAAGAAATATGACATGTTTGCTGAACCACAGAGGACAGATCAAGTGTAAAACTATCTGCAGAAAATCAGCAGCATCAAAAAACAAGTGTATTCACTGATTTATATCACTGTATGTTAAGTTTTGTATCAATGATCAGACATAAAAATAGTCTATTTAAAGGTCCAGTGTGTGGGATATAGAGGGATGTATTGGCAGAAATGGAAATATATTATAACAACTATGTCTTTGCATGTTTGCATTTTCTCTCCATGTCAGTGTGGGTTTTCTCCAGGTACTCCAGCTTCCTCCCACAGTCCAAAGACATGCAGGTTAATTGGTGACTCTAAATTGTCTGTAGGTGTGAATGTGAGTGTGAATGGTTGTCTGTCTCTATGTGTCAGCCCTGTGATAGTCTGGTGACCTGTCCAGGGTGTACCCTGCCTCTCGCCCAATGTCAGCTGGGATAGGCTCCAGCCCCCCCCCCCCCCGACCTCAGATAGGATAAGCAGCTACGGAAAATTAATGTATCAATAAATGTCTTTGTAAGTGTATGATCACCTCAAAATGAGATTCATTATGTTTTCATTACCTTAGAATGAGCTGTTTATATCTGCATAGTAAGGGTGGGAATCACCAGAGTATCTATGATAAGATATTATCACGATAATTAACTCACGATACAATATTATTGTAAATATGTTGCAATAGGCTGAGTATTGCTACAAAATATATTGCAATTTATTACCTTTTTTTATCTGTAAATTATGTCCCCAAAGGAAAACTCTGTCAACGTCTGTTTTATCTAGTAAGATAAAGTTTTCGGTCTGTTCATGTCACTTCAGCCATTTTTTTTGCAGCAGCAGCAAAATGTATCTAGCGGACTGAAAAAGCAACTGATATTATTGTAGTAGACCAACTAAAGTTAGATATATATTTATAATATAAATAATTTATATAATAAAAAAAATTAATACTTGGCACTGTGTGACGATACGATAATGCCACACAAAAATATCGCGATACTATGCTGTAACGATCTTTTCAACCACCCCTATTGATAGGGAGCAAGTTTCTCGTTTACAAATATCGCAACGTTGACCCGCCATGTTTCTTTCTTTTTTTTTTTTTTTAAAGATTATTTTTCTGGGCTTTTTGCCTTTAATTGACAGGACAGTGTGTGAAATGGGGAGACAGACAGAGAACGGGGACTGACTGTAGGGTCGCAGGCCGGACTCGAACCCGCGAGCACTACAGCGAGGCAATGCCTCTGTACATGGGGCGCCGGTACCATCCACCACGCCACCGACGCCCCAACCCGCCATGTTTCTACAGTAGCCCAGAAATGACAAACCGAACACTGGCTCTAGATAGGGCCATATGCGTGTTCACAACAGCCACCGTAGTTAGCTGCACCTCCGCAACGGGCTGAGCACTGTCAGAAAAACACAGGATTTTAACATGAAACTGCTTTATTCAGTGTTTTTACTGGTTTAAACCACCAGATCCATTTGTTTTGGAAAGGAAGAGACCTCTGTGGATAATTCGGCTCCCGAAAAAAACCTCCTGAATGTCTGGATGTTAATTTATCAGAGAAATAAGGTGAGCACATAATACAAAGTGCTGGGCTAGCGGCCTGTCTCCAACATGCCAAACAGCATTGAAGAAACACTGATTTGTAACGTGAAACTGCTTTATTAAGTGTTTTTACCAGTTTAAATCATCAGGTACCTTTGTTTTGGAGAGGAAGAGACCTCTGTAGATAATTCAGCTCCTGATAAAAACCTCCTGGATGTCTGGATGTTAAGTTATCAGAGAAATAAGATGAGCACACGTTAGCAGATGCTAGGCTAGCGGCTCGTCTCTTACATGCTAAACAGTGTCAGAGAAACATGGATTTATAACATGAAACTACTTCATTCAGTGTTTTTACTGGCTTAAATCACCAGGTCTGATTGTTTTGGAGAGGAGGAGGCCTAATTCTGCTAACGGTAAAAACATCTGGAGAGTCTGGATCAAAAAAACAGGTGAGCACACATTAGCAGCACCATCTGCAGCGTGCCAAACAGCATCAGAGAAACACTGAAGCATAACAGGAAACTGCTTAATCCTGTGTTTTTACCTGTTTTAATCACCAGGTCCGTTTGTTTTGGAGACGAACAGACCTCTGCAGATAATTCAGCTCCTGGTAAAAACTTTATTAACAATTAACACTGAGGGAATCGTAACCAGGAGACGTTTCAGCTGGTAGTTATCTGAAGTACTCACTGCTAGATGCCACTAAATCCTCCTATAAATCCTCCTAAATCTTAGAAGGGACAAGACAGTACTTCCAGTAAACAAGGATATTTTTACTATTTCCTAACATTTTATAAATTATTAATACAAAGAAAAGAATCCACACATCAGGCGATAACATAAACAAACATTGGCTGAAGTTCAACATTCACATTTTGTTCACAGCCCTCAGACACAAATGGAAAAACGACTCCGGCTGAACTTTTAGGGGAAAATTCAATAAGCTTATTCGGGCATCCCCAGGACAAGACAGATGCTCAATTTGCAAAATCAATACAAACCTTGCTACATGATCTCATATGGCCAACATGGTGCACACACTGTCCCAATACTGCTGTCATCATCAAGAGGGAAAATATGTGTCAACAGACATAAATGAGTGTCAGCAGTTGGAAAATGTGTACATTATTATATAACACTTGAATCATCACGAGAGGACATCAGAGGATCTGAAGCAGAAAATTGGCAGTTTTCTGTACGGCTCTAAAGTTGGCTGTGACAGCGATGAAGGAACTGTACACTTGAGCGCCATGTTGGGGAAACAGCTGAGCACACAGTCCTTCAAGGCCCCCCCCCCCCCCCCCGCTCAAACTTTAAACCCCCCCCCTCTGCCTTTCACTCTGGATGGAATTCGACTCCCTCCTCCAAGCTCTTACGGATGTCTCTTACCCAGGTCACTCACACCACCTCATGGTCTTAAAATGAACACACTAAGGTAGGCACTGGTGTGGTGGTAGTTGATGAGGTGGGTGTATGACTAGATAGATGGGTAGGTTACCAAGGAGGAAGTGGGTATACTCTTATATATTTCAATGGCGCACCATCAGTTCATGTTCACTAAAGCCCAGTTCAGACCAAAGATTTGCGACGGGACGAGTTGAAACAGGCAACTACTTGCTATGTGCCGTTCTGAAATGCTCAATCGGTTCACATCAATGCAACTAGATGAGATAGTGTATCATCTCTATGCAACAACTCTGTACTTCCGTTCTGATTTGCAGCTTTTCAGGCTTATTTTGTGGCTAAATATATTTTGTAGCTTCCTAAAATATGAATGAGGATAGTGATAGTGAGATACTGGCTACAGCTGCATTTGTAGTAGTGATGAAAGAGCGAAAAACATAAATAAAACGAGCATTAGATGGACTGTATTCATAGTAAATACGCCAAAAAAATATAAATAATCAGCGCCAATTAATCAGTCAGTGATAATGTGTGTGGGCGGGTCATAAGCAAGCACCATGAGGACGGAAACAGAGGGCTCGGCGTGGACAGAGCACCTGCCTCAGCAAGCAAACATGCTGTCTGTGGTCATTTCGACTTGACCATCAGGCTTCAATACAAGCTGACTGGCCGTAGAAACAGGCGACGTGCCATACATTCTAATACCAGCTACTGGCGATTTGACCAGCTGAGTTGCAGATGACATCATCAGCTGGCTTGAGTCGAGCTCAGACGGCCAGTTCACACCGCTGCAGCTTTTCTCTGCAATATTCTAAAACAGTTTCATCTCGTCGCGAATCTTTGGTCTGAAATGGGCTTAAAAGTGTTTGTTTTTGCCACTGACAGGATCAGATTATTATAGGTGTTTTAACAACATTACAGAACAGATCCCTACAGAGATACACCTTTTACTACAAAGAGAGAATACGTTTTTAAAAGGCAATGCAGTGCTTGTATCTAATCAGGAAATTTCACTTACAGAATATGAGAAACAACATCTTAGAGACTTAAAGTGAAATTTTGGTTTATTTCAACCTGTCTCCTATCATCCTAAATTTGTTTCAAGTGACTTGTGACATAAAAATAATAGTTAGCATGTTAGCCGTTAGCCTAGATACAGCTGGGGTGCATAGTAGCGTCAGACCTGTTAAAACGTAAGTGAATGGGCATACCTTCAAGTGCAAAGTTAGTCCACTAAACAAGCTTTTTTTCCACAAAGACCGCCTCATATCGTTAGGATAAATGTTAGAGAACATATAGAAAACGACATGTAAACATGTTGTCTTACCTTAACCGTGTGCTGCCATGTTTGTTTACCATCTAGCTCTGCTTTCCAAAGCGTGGCCGAAATCTCGTGAGAACAAGCAGCGATCTCATACCGCCACATTTTGTTTTCACAATTAGGAAATGCACACTTACGAACCAATTTACTTTGCCAAACTGATCTCCGACTTGTTGCCTGTAAACTCCGGTAATGCCCTCCACCTGGAGTAGTATCCAGCTGGGCTTTATCTAGAGCTGCTTGTTCTCGCGAGATTTCAGGCACGGTATGATGCTTTGGAAAGCAGAGCTACATGGTAAACAAACATAGCACCACACCGGTAAGGTAAGACAACACGTTTACATGTCGTTTTCTATATGTTCTCTGACATTTATCCTAACGATATGAGGCGGTCTTTGTGGAAAAAAAGCTTGTTTAGTGGACTAACTTTGCACTTGAAGGTATGCCCGTTCACTTACGTTTTAACAGGTCTGACGCTACTATACGCTGTATCTAGGCTAACAGCTAACATGCTAACTATTATTTTTATGTCACTAGTCACTTGAAACAAATTTAGGACGACAGGAGGCAGGTTGAAATAAACCAAAATTTCCCTTTATCTTTTAACGTGTACTTGGTATGGGCACCTTGGGGCTACGAACAGAGATGTATAAAATACAGGTGAAACAAAAAGCTCTACAAATTGTGGCCCATCCTGTTCATCTCCTATGTAAAGAATGCATAGAAATGCCCTTGGGAAGAGGCTATAGAGCCGCTGCAGAGACCTGCAAAAGTCTTTCACACCAAATTCAATGACTTTGCTAAATTTGTAACCACCATTCGCACTGGAACCATGTTTGTTACTGCTGTCTGTACTATGCATGTTGTGGTATTCATTGTATGTACTGTGATCTTACTGTGATGTAAAGCCAAAGGCAAATCCCCATGTTTGTGGACTATAAAGATTAGAAATATTGTAATTATTATTTTTTGTCAAAAGTAAGATTCTTTGTGTTTAACCAGAAACAGCCCAAAATCACTATCGTTATTTAAATGGAGTCTGGTGGGTCTGGTGATAGTGATTTTGGGGCTGTTTCTGGTTAAGCCATGTATCAGCCATGTATCAGCCATGTATCCCTTATTTTTAGCTATCAATTTTTCAATGAGACGTAATCTGTCTAGTTGGTTGACTGCAGCTGGTGGGCTTTTAGACAGTAAATATACTTTAATATAAGCATCACACCATTTTGTAATCCTATTTGTGTGATGATTTTCCTCAAAAACTCAAAAATGTAAATATATATTTTCATCATTTACCCCCATTATTACTATAACTGATTTCTGAAAGCTTGCATAATTAACTTGGACACTTTAATACCGAACTGAAGCGCATTTATCTCAGTCAGTGCATCAATTTAGACTGTGATGAGACAGTTGTGTCAGAGGCGGCTGGTTAAACAAACATATAACAGTATTAACGGACATCTAGCTAATCAAAGGTGACTTTCACAAAGTCCCAGGCGGTTTTAATCTGCTTTAGTGCTTTTAAAATCCTCAGAGGACAGCAACCGCAGCTGCAAGAGGGTTTGATTTTATCACAGAGAGAAAAAACAAGAAGAAGAAAATAAGGCCATTTTTCTTTGGTCGTCTGTCCAGCTGTCTGGAAACATACTCCTCAGTGCTCTGTCTACCTCGCTTCAGCTCTGACCTTCTGTCAACAAAAGTGCTCTGCGTTTCTCGTAAATGTGCCCCTTTTGTTCAAACTGTCCAACACAGGTTACGCAGGTTACAGATTTGGCTGGCAGTGTCAGAGGTGCGCTGCCGGTGTCTCTGTGCTGGCCTTGCTCCGACCTTTCCCCGCTATCGGCCTGTCTCTCTCCTCCCACAGCGTGACCCCATCACAGGCACAGATTTGTTTGGGGTTCTGGAAAAGACCTGCTGATCGGGCGATGATCCCACAAGCCAGTCTGTAGAGGATAAGACAAGAGACAGTGTTTGAAACAAATGAGAAAATCAGCTTCTTGTAACTGTTTTTGTGTCTAAAGTCCTGTTTCCACCAAACACTTTAGGTATGGCACCTTTGGACCCTAAAGTAACCCTTCAGACATGGTACCTAGACCCTAGTGTTTCCACCGAAACAGTACCCTTAAATGTGGGCGGGATTGTTGTCACTCACTGCTCCGTCTAGCACTCAGCGTGTTACCTCCTTTATCAGTCTGCAGCTTGTTTATCGTCCACAGAACGAGGTTGCACGCCAACATTTTTAGAACAAAATAGAACAGGCTGCAGTGAGAGTCTCTCTACATGGGATATTTAAAAATAGCAGGTTAGTGCATTTAGTCCTTCTCAGGCAAGCTCAGGGGTTTAGTGTTGTTGGAGCCCACAGGAACGATGCTCCACAATGGGTTTTTTTTTCTCAGAGTGAGGATTATAATATGTTCACATAACCTGGCCGAAATTAATATATGTAAATGCTTGAAGATCCACTCATTACTAAAAGTGTATGTCATATAAAAACTAAAGTGATGGTAAAAGTTGTCACAGAGAGGCCATGTTTACACGAAAACGATTCACTGAAAACAGAATCGTTTTTCATTTTCATTTTGAAAAAAGTTCCGCGTTTAGACGAAGTTTTGATAACAATTGCCGTGCACACAGATCCGCAAAAATGAACAAAAACGCTGCAGTATACATGCCAGGCCAGTAGTTGGCGGTGTGATGTTTGTCTGGAAGGACAACAAGGTGGAGTTGCTTCAGTAAATCTACACTATGAAGGGGAAGCGTTGATAAATTCAATAGGGTGAGCAGCACAAACAGAGCTTGGGAGTCCGCCATTGTTGTTGTGATGGTAGACTTTCTCGCGCATGCCTTGTGACTGGAACCATAATGTGCATGTGCGAAAAGTCTCCGTTTTCAGAGGAGCTGCATATTGCAAGTTTAAATGACAACGGAAACGGTGCTGTTTCCAAAAAATTGCACTGTGGAACCCGTTTTCAAAACGTTGCGTTTTCAAGCACCCAAAACGCTGGTGTCGTGTAAACGATCGGCCAAAACGCAACTAAAGTTTACCGTTTTCAGTTGAAATCGTTGTCGTATAAACGGGACCTGAAATTTAAGGGGTGTTGATGGATTCATGTCATCAACTCATGCATTGAGTGACATTACAAGTTAACATTCCACCTTTAAAGTCGTCTGCAGTCAGCCCAGTGAATGAAGTTATTTTTTCTCAGACTCCGGCTGCTGCGAGAGGCGGCAAAACATGCTTTAATTTTATAGTTGCAGTTTACTAATAAAACTCTCCACAGTATGAACAGTGGTTACATGAGCCTCAAAACCAGCCACAACTCAGCCCTGAGCAGAGCGACCGTCCAACAGACCAATCAACAGACTGCAGTGTTCACAGCTCCACCTTTTAGTAACAGATCTGTGTGCTAGGTACCCCAACAGAGGGGGGACCAAAATGGTTCCATTGGTACCATCCACAACTATTCACAGTGGAAACACCATCAGTGATTTATATTGCAGCAAAATGTATCTAGTGGACTGAAAAAGCAATTGATGTCATTATTGCAGTAGGCTGCCAAAAGTTTAATTTGTATTTCTAATATAATTTATATAGTAAAAAAATCCATACTTGGCATCTGTGTGATGATGTGATATTGCCACACAAAAAGATTCTGATACTATGCTTTATCGAATTTTCCCCCACCCTTCATGAGATCAACAGTTTTTGAAGTTGGCCCAGTACTGAGCTGGAGCGCTGCACCCATCACCCACGAAAAAGGCTGCAATGTAAACACTCAGGGCATGTTCAAGTTAACATTTATTTAAGCAGCACTACTGAGAGGAGAGAGAGGCAATGCAGTAACAGAATCTTGATCCATATTTTATCAGCGCTGCCTAGTTTGACAGTTTGACTGCAGTATACAGGCAGTGACTGACATGACTGACATCCTCGGCTCTGACTGGTTGTTGCTGATGGCGCCTCGGTATTAGAAGCAGTAGGAAGAGGAGCAGGGACATGATTTCTTTCACAGACTATCTGTGTCATGTACTTCTTTCAGATATAGAAACAAATATGACAGTATAAGCTACCAACTGCAGCTTTTAATCACTGCTGACCCACCTCTCCCCACAGTTCCCAGTCAGTTTGGAGAGAGGGTGACTGCCTCGACCCAGGTCGTCTTCGCCTGCATCCACCACCAGCGATCGGCCAATCACATCCCATACCTGCAGCGTGGGCAACACATCGATGAAGAAGAAATTAAAAGTTGGCTTTATTTTGGGAATCAGATGCTGATATATGAAATCTTTGCTTCTTAAAACTACTCACCTGCCTTACTACTAGTGCTAAACATGTGTGTATGTGTGTTACCTTTAGCTGACCGTCCTCTTGTCGAAAAGACGCTCTGCCATCTGGTCCAGCCATGATATTCCCCAGATCACCTACATGCTGTACGACAAACACACAGTGAATAAATAACGCTGAGCCACACAGCGTGAAAGTCAGGATACACCACCTTAGACTTACAGCTCTGTCACACACACTTTATTGAAAATGTAGCACCTGAAGCAGAACTGCTCAAAATGGCTCCTGCGGGACACATTTGGCAATCTGAGAGAAGTGTCAGATCTTACATTTGGCTTGAGTTGAAATTTTTATTAAATCTCAGGAGGGATTTTGTCAGAATTCATTATTTACTGACGCCATTTACATCTAAACGGTCTGGCACGGATGATATACAGCACAGAGCAGCCTCCAAAAAATCTAAAAGTGAACGATTATACGGGAAGTTATTTTTGAGGAACAGATATGACCGTACCCTTTCAGAGTCTCCTGGACCACCGTGTTGTCTTCCAAAGGGGTTATAGTGCTCTCCACAGCTGGAAGAAGAAGAAGAGGAAATTAAATCTAATTAAACATCAATGAAAAAAGTTAGTTTATATTGCAATTTCGTATGACAGCAATATACGTTTAACTACGGATGCCACTGCTGTTCACTGTCCGCCATGAACAAAGCCAAGACACTAAAACCCTGGATGGATTTTAAAGATCAGGGTTTCCCACACTTTTTAACCGACGAATTGTCATTAGTTTTCTGCAATATTTTATCCCATTTCCATGCCTTCATTTAAGTAGTTTAAAATAGGTACATTATTAAACACTTCCCAGGCATTTAACAATAAGCAAACTGCTCGTGTTGATAAATTTACTCACTTGTTAGACATTCCCGCCGCTAACTACCTGCATATGCCAATAGACCAGGGGTCGTACTCACAAACATTCTGAGAGCACTCTCAGAGAGCTCCTAACTTAGGCTAAAAACTTATAGTACATAGCTAAGGAGCGATTTAGGAAAGTTTTCAGAGCAACTCTGCGCAAGGAAGGGACAGAAACTTTTATCTTAGTGAGGTGGTTAACCCCATTTATAGGTGTGATACATTCTTTTAACAGGTGTGATTGGTTGTCAGAGACACACCCTTTGTGACACCCTTTTCCACCATTTTCTCCTCTGATTCAGAAACTCTTAAGGCTCTTAAAAGTCCTCCTCTTTACTCCGAACAGTGTTTCACCATAGGAGCTCTTTTAAGGTCTACGATGCTCTGTGAGTAACTTTTATCTTTACAAAGACCTGGTCTTAACTTTAAGAGGAAATTCTAAGAAAATGTCACAATTCTAAGAATCTTATGAATACAGCCCCAGACCGGCACATATGGGTCCTTGGTAAAATGTCAAGGCCAAGCCCCTTTTGGGGGTAGAAAACTTAAGATCCTTGTAATTTTTCACAAGTTTGTGTGCATTTATTATTATTAAACTAACATTTGTTTTATGGACATGTCTAATGATTAATTTTTGCTAATTTGTCTGAATCTGACCATTCTTGATATGATAATAAAGGACAGTTGATTGGCGTCATGACCTTTCAGTCTTCCCTCGTTCAAGCAAATCAATGACTACACACTAGCCAGTAGTTAGTCAGTTTGGGTAAGCCTGTTAGAAAATATCGTGGGTTGCAGGCGGTCATCAATTGACATGCAGCATTTTGAGTAAGTTATTAATAACTTACAGAAACTTTGTGCAATAATCCAACTTCTACCTTCTCATCCCCTCTTTCTACCTCTCTAACACAGCAAGCAGCTTTATCATTAGTGCTGCTGCGCTCTGGCTTTCCATTATTTAGCTTTTGCCCACGATTGGCCAGTAACATTGTTACAGTCAGACCTTTTTTAAACCCAGAAAGATGCTGAAATACTCACTCACGCTTTCATTACCAGCCATTTAGACCACTGCAATTCCCTTTTCACCGGACTGCCCGAAAAGTCAATAAGAAAACTACAGTTAGTCCAAATTGCTGCAGCCAGAGCGTTGACCAAAACAAGGAAAATGGATCACAGTACCCCACTGCTGAAGTCACTACACTGGCTAAGCATCTCTCTGTCCACACTGAATCCATTACATATGCATTTCTCTTATGTCATGTAAACACACCACTGTACCTATTAGCTGTGTGCTCATGAAAACAAACCATGTAGGTCATTGGCTGTATGCTGGAAATCATACTTGACACGTGACCACTTAAAAGATGGGTGAGTACTTTCTGTCTTCCTACATTTGTGCTTTTTATAACAGAAAACACATGTTTTATATTGTGATATTTACTGGAAATGGCACACAACACAGCCAACAGCAGGTGGGTTGTTATTAGTGATTCCCAGTGATTCATTCCCAGAAACTTTCAGCTCTGGTTTGAGGTTTTGCGGGTTGGGTTCGGAGCACTGTCTAGCGCATTTGTTTGTGGGTTCAACAGGACGGATTGGTTCTGGTGATCTGGCCCGGATATTACTTAGCGATCATGATATAACTGGTGATTTAATTAAATATGTATATTTGATTGAATCACAAGCTATCGTTAGGTGTTGTTTGTTAAAAAAACAACCTATTCATACCAACTATTTGATCAAGGCTCAACTGAGATTTAGTTGGGGCTGACAGTCTGATGCTCCTGTACTGTGTGATTAAACTGCAGCAGCCTCCCACTCAAGCAGCTATCCATCAGCAGTAACTGTCACCAGCATGATACGATTTACCGCACTGACAGTGCATATTCAGTTTCTTATGTACCTCAGATCTTACTGTGAAAGCAGGGTTGGAAATTAGCACCTGTCACCAGACAAATGCTATTAAAATATGCAAGTGGCTGCTAGATTTGCTTCACTTCACAGCCCAAAAAAATGTACACCAGTATTCCAAACCTTTCCAAAACATTCTGTTAATTTCAAACCAGTTTCTCTAATTTTATAACTTCTCCAGGAATCTAATGACCATGGGATCCCTGAAAGATGCTCCAGTCTGCCCAAACCCCCCTTATATTATCTGCTCTTATAAAGCAGCAGTCCTACCTGAGGCAGTCTCGTGTGAGGTCCCCCAGAGCGTGGACATGAAGGCCGTGGAGTCCGGGCTCCAACCCGTCAATTGTCCCATCAATCAAGCACCGCTCCTCAGACAGCTGCAGGAAACGCACCACCCCTTGAATCTTTCCTTCACCAGCCAGCATGGCCACTGCTGTACCCAGGTCTGTCATAAAAAAACAACAACCCACAGACATCCTCAACAACGTGTGTGTTTATGTTTGTGATCTTGTTGACACTCCCTCACATCTGGACATGTCGAGATGGTGTTCAGTTGTTGCTGCAGTTCACATGTGGAATAAGAATGCATCACAAATGCGTCTCCGGTGACTGCCTCTGATCAGATTATGTTTCCCGGCTCATATTTGATTTTATCTGAGGGAAACTGTGACTTCAAATCCCTGTCTGATATCTTGTGCAGGGCAAATCAGCCATAACCAACTGTGTCTGAGAGGCTCTGTGCTAAACGTGTACTACAAAGTTAATCCTCAATGCTCAGGGGTGTATTTAAATTCATACTACACTATATATCAGCTCATTTATGATTAACTGTGACCACCTCAGAGTGATCACATCCCAGTGCAATCATACTTCTGGTTAGACCTCTGTACCTGTGATATGTTTATCCAGGATGTGTTATAGTGACATGAACAACACCAGTGTCTCAACAACCTATATTTACTCTGTAGAGAGATCAATGACAGCAACACTAACAAGTTTAGTAACTGACTTTTGTCCACCAGTTTACAATAAACGCAAAATGACAACAATGTGCGTAAAGGTGTTTTTGACTTCCTGTAGCACTACGGCTGGGTATAAATATGTCATACCTTAAAAGTATCAACTGAAATAACCCAGTACCGAGCAGTATCAAAACTTGTTTGGCACAGGCAAACAGAGATCTTTGTGGGTACATGAGACCCTAAAAAGAGGGTGGGTCATGGGGAGTACCTCCAGTTGGTCCAGGAGCTTCGCATCCATGATGGCCGTTTCTAGGCATATTTTAGGATGACTTGGGGGCAGTTTGACAACCTGCTGTCTGTCGTCAGGACGTAGAGCTCTGGGTATCCAGCAACCACTACCACCACCAATTTCTCGTCCATTTTACTAACTGTAAAATTGTTGTCATGACTACCACAGAAGGCCCGCGTCTCAAATCCTCAGATTGGACAATGGGAAAAAAGATGACGAAAAAAAGAGATGATGTGGGGTGTTCTTCTGCTCTGAAAAAAGAAATGAAAATGAAGTATTCTATCCTCCTGGGACCCGAACTTTTGTTTGGTATGCTAACTAACTATGCAACTAAACAATGTCCTCAAATGAGACGACAGTAAAGTCCCAATGTCCACTAATGAGACAATAATAAAGTTCCCATGTCCTTTAACGAGCTGAATATTCCCGATGTCTTCAAGATGTCTTCAAATTAGCACTTCCTAGGTAACAGTGTCTTATCTTGATACTGTTGCTAAAATTGGTCAAATTCAAACTACAAACATTATTAATCACAAATAAACAAGTTTCAACCATAAAATGTGATCAGGTTTTGGACCTTGCCCACCTTTGTGTTGGGAACAGCTGCAGACTGACTTGGCAGAGATGGCTGCCATCTTGTTTTTACATGGATTAGTGTATTGTGCTCTCTATTCTATCACTAGATGGCACAAAAAGTGTCCACAAATGAGGACAACAGGTCTAAGTTAAGCAGAATGAAGTAGACGGTCAAGTAATCCCAAAATGTGATGTCCTCATATGAGGACATGGGGTCTCAGGAAGATATTGGTGTCGGTATTAATTCACTGCGGTGCACAGACAGGCAGTCAGAGCTACAGGCTACAATGAGGCTAAAAACAGAGTTCACATTACGTTTTTCCAAACAACTTTTTATGTTGGGGCTTCAGGACACTTGGATCCCTACGGACGAGCAGTATGGAGATATTTTATGGTTTCAATATGTGTTTTTGGATGTTTGAATCTGGGGCGCTGTAAGCCTCCATTAGGTGGAGTTGTGCTGCTACTCACTCTCCCCTGGGATCTCCCTGCAACTGTTGTGAGGCCACTAAAACTTCACCTGAGCCTCTATCAGCATATGGGTGAGTAGATAATGGCTGAATTTTCATGTTTGGGTGCACTATCCCTTTAAGGGTACAGCTATGGGTACTGATAACGTATTTTTTTAAACAGTACCCAGCCCTGTGTAGCACTATGGAGCTGGTTTTGGATGACTGGGTCACTGTTTTTGCTTAAGGTCCCACATGTACACACACCCATGCAGGTGACCATGCAGGTCCTGCCAATGGTCTCACACAATTCAACTGATCAGCAGTTGGAGGTAACCCATTAAGCTATGCTGCAAGGTGCCAACAAAGGTAAGGAAGAAGAAGAAGGCTGGTAAATACACTCTAAATACTCGATGTAGAATGCTTTAAAAAATTACTATGCAATTGTTTTATATATAAGGAAGGAAATGCACTAGACACGTTTGTTAGACCTCAAGGATACACAGTCAGTTTTGGGAGCGACACCACATGGAAACACAACTTTAGTTTGTTTACAATAAAATCCCACAGGGCACCTTTAAGGCATTCAGGAATAATAACGAAAAGACTGTTTAAAAATTCATCCTCAAACACACACACACACACACACACACACACCAACATTCTGTGTGTTTTCACATTTCACTTTACAAAAGAGACCTGCACAGTCTTATAAAACAGTCTGCAACTGATTTAAATGAGTAAATATCTGATTTGAGAAAACAAAGACAAGACTCTTTATGTGTCTGAGAATTAATTTGCTGTGTGTACATTAATTAGATTATAGTGCATATTAATGTAGGAATATACAGAACACATTTTCTTTCTTTATTTATTTATCTATCTAGTTATTTATAATATATTTTATAAAATCCACAAATTACTACAAGATTTTAAATCTGACCCGACTTTTAGTACTTGTACATTTTCAATATGTGATGCTACAGACACATTTTGGTCGGTACTTTAGAGTCTAGAGGTGTGATAACCAGCCTCTCTCCTGTCCTGTGGTTTCTCTCACCTTGCTCTGATCCTCCGATGCCTTTCAGCACGGCTCTGCGTCCGGTGCTCTCTATCAGAGCCTGCACCTCTGCAGTGGTCAGAGTCGACTCCACCAACACCTCCTCCTTACCCACATCGATACTGACAGACTGTACTCCTGCACACATGTGAACAGAAGTGCAAATTATCAACTGACAGACACAAAAACAGACAGGGAAGTAACACACATGCAGACAAAAATTAAATTCAATTGTATAACCAACTGAATACTCCTGTGTCATGTGTCCACTTTTCCATTTTGTCACATCTATGAGCAGTTTCTGTGCTTGTCTGTGTTTGTGAAATGGATATGGGACTCTTTAGGTCAATTTCTTAAACAATTTCTCACAAGATTCCTGAAAAAGGATGATGAAATTTGGTTCAAGTTGTAGGAGTAAAGACAGACAATGTTCTGAGACTGGTATTTTAGTTGTATAAATTTTGTTTGCAGATTCCCAGAGGAATTTCCTTAAAAGAGCTGCTCTGTTTGACCTGAATAATTAATAATTAATAATTTCTTAAATAATGGAAACATTACTCTTTTATATGTCGTTTGGTACAGAAAGCTTGCCTGTAGACATATTGCACATATTTTGCATTTTCAGCTGACCTGCACTCGCGTACAGTCTCTAGGTTACAAAATCTAAGCATTCAATAGTACTTAATTAATTGGAAGTGTACCAACTGAAAGTTGTATGTAGCCTATATGCCAGTCTTATTCTTATTTTATTTTATATTATTTTACTTTATTTTGTATTATTATTTTTTTATTTATTTTATTTTGTTTTATTTTATTCTATTTTTTATTCTATTTTATTTTATTTTATCTTGTTTTATTTTGTCTTATTTTGTTTATTTTATTTTGTTGTATTCTATTTTATTTTATTTTGTTTTATTTTAATTTATCTTATTTTATTTCATTTCATTTTATCTATTTTATTTTGTTTTATTTTATTCTATTTTTATTTTATTTTATCTTGTTTTATTTTGTCTTATTTTGGTTATTTTATTTTGTTGTATTCTATTTTATTTTATTTCATTTTGTTTTATTTTAATTCATCTTATTGTATTTCATTTTATTTTATCCATTTTATTTTATTTAATTCTAAGCTTTTTTTACTTTTTTTTCATGTCTCATTATTTTTTTAATTGTCAACTATTGGTCTTAATTATTATTTGATTTAATTTTATGTTATTATTACTTTTTGAAGGGTTTTATTTATTTACTTTTTATTCTTACTGGTCGGTTGTCGATCTTACTATTATTCAAACTGATTATGATTATGATTATTTTAATTTTTATTTTGTGGCTGCAGCTCCATGGTAGTTCACACGTTGTGCAGCACATTGTGCTTCCACTCGGAATAAAACATGCTATATAAATCAAGTTTTGCTTTGCTTGCTTGCTGTAATTCCAGCCAAATTACATATTTATTTCTACAACACTTCCCAAGAAATTATTAGGGATCTGCAGACGTGTAAAAGTCTGTACATGTTACTTGATAATTTATGCATTTTAGTAAGGGCTGCACAATATATCCAATATTTACCGTCAGCGCAATACCAACATGTCCGACACAGGCATCGCCAAGGGCTGCTTGAAGTGCGATATATTGTACATTTACTGTGCCATTCATGCATACACTGCATCTCACGTTGAAACAGTGGCGTCAGGTGACTTTAGGCCAACTAGTTTTTAGTATGGGCTGTTGTTATCACACTGTCCATGATATGTCTGTGTTTTTGTTCTGGTGCTCCACACAGATCTGACACCTGTCCGCCTGCACACCTGTTCTCATCCCCAGCATTTCATGGTAAAGACAAAGACAGCAGGGGCGTCAGGGAGGTCCCCAGAGACCACTGGGAGACATTACATGTGTTTTAAGTTTAATAAAATACAACCGCATTCACAAATATGTAGAATATTACTACAGACATTATAGTTATCTTTCAATGCAACATCTACTGTGTCTGCAGATGCTGTATTGACACGTTAGAGATGATGGTACATGATGGTAGACATTAAAACTGTATGCTTCATTATTTGTTTATATATCACGAGTCATATTGTCATCACAGTATTCAACAAAGTTATCTTATAAGGCATGTTTTCCTGATATTGTGCAGCCCTAAATTTATTGTATAACACTTAGAGTTTACTTGTAATGAAATGTACTATATAAATGAACTTGCCTTACTGAGTAACAAGACATGCTACTGTACACTGGAATGCATGAAGAAAGGGCAGCTATGAACGAATGACTGATTAAAGCTGTCTGACATAATCTGCTGTGTCATGGTGCTCTATCTGTGTCAACTTGCCCTGGTGCTCATACACTGACCGTTACTACACATAACAAATAACTTCCTGCATTCAAAACCTTTGTTCATCTTTGTGACGATGTATTTTGCAGCTGATCCAAGAAGGTTTTCAAAAAGTTTATTTATCTTTGGAGGTAGAAGAATTTCAAATTTAGAACATCTGGAGATAGGTGGTTTTCACTGGACACAGTGAAGCAGTCAAAACAAATATTAATGGAGTAAAAAGTAGGGAAGATGGGGGATGGTTGTGTCCCGGGGAAGTTATGACACTTTGAATTTCTCCAACCAGGAACAAACTACGAATCATCTGATCTGATGATGAAACAACATGTGAGAAAATGTCACGACCTATCCCAGGAAAAATGTTTATATACTTGCTCACACACACTCATACGTGCAGCACAGATGAGTGCAAACACACCTAGACTGTCAAGAAAGCAAACACACACACACACACACAGAGTGCAAGAGAGGTGAAAAAACGCAGCACACACTAGAGTTAACTTCAGTGTTAACTTCACAAAAGGCAGCAGTTTCAACCTTGTTTTAATTTAATATCTAAATTTTGACACTTGAGGGACAAACGTGAAGTATACTGTGAATATACTTTTTGTGGTGAAATATTACAGTATGCAAACACTGGACAGTATGCTGGCAAAAATATCCTTCAATGGGTAACCATGAGCAACCACAGATGGACACAATCAGACTGATTTTAAAACTCGGGTATCAAAGCATTTTGGCTATACGGTTGAAGGGAAAAGGGACCTGGACAAAAGCCACATTGTATGCAAGTAAATTAATCTCTTTACCCTAATTATGGATCACTACAAATCTGAATCAAAATTGAATCAAGAGGTGCCTGAAGATTCCCACCCCTGAGACGCACATAAATACACACACACCTACTAATTTTAACAAGTACTTTGAGTGCAGTATAAAAAGTTTTTGTCATAATCATTATTTCATACATCACATCATCACAACAAACCTGGACTCACTCCCTGTGTTTGAGACTGAGTCATGCATTTTATGTTTGTGTAACAGACACATGTAACTAGTGTGTAACATTTTAAACGCACCGGCATAAGAGAGCTCAATGATACGGTCAGATATGTCAAAAATAGGGCTGCAGCGATATACCAGTTTCCAGGTATACCATGATATAAAAGCGGACAGTTATCAAACCGTGTACATTGACTTATCTATAATATTGAAAAAAAAAAATGCAACTGGCTGGAGACTCCTCCTTTAATTTTAGTTATCTTCAATAATCCTCCATTTTCATTCTTTACAGGTCATTGGGATTGATAATGGTATAAATTCTGTAATACCGTGATACTTTCTGAGATGGTTATTGTACTGTGATTATCTCATACAGTTGCAACCATAGCCAAAAATGTTACAACTGTCCCCGGTCTCCCCTACAAACACATTTATATTGTTCTTCTGTTCCGTACTTGAGTAAATGTACTTAGTTACCTGTCAGTTCCAGATGACAAGCAGCAGTTACTGCACAGGGAGGTGTTTCAGAGGGTGTTAACAAAGATAAAATAAGTTCTTTTACAGTCCTGGTGAACCTTTAACTGTTTTATTACCTGGTTGACCCTCCAGAGCAGCTCTTACTTTAACTGCGCAGCTCTCACATGTCATCTGCACCGCAAACTCCAGCTGTGGAGGACAAACAAACACCTGTAGCTTATAACATGTATGTATAACATCACATCTGTAGCAGCAGCGGGTGAACTTAGCCCGTTATCTAACTGCGCAGCAACACTGGAGTCACTCATTGTAACTGTCACACAGCAGCAGCAGCAGCAGCAGCTATACAAGGCATGTTTTTGTTTTGCTGTTATTATTATTATTATAATTACGGGTGAAATTGTATCGTGACGCAGCAAAACGCGAGGCTAAAACATGACAAGAGTTTCTGTCAAACCTTGGTTGGTCCCACAGAGTCCATGTTGTTTGCGTACGTCGCCGCCTGGGTGATGAAAACTGAGTTAAATAGATAACTTCCCAGTTTTCTAGAAACGGAAGCGAACCAGCTGTACCTGCAAACGGGCGCCGCCATGTTTGTGAGGACACAGTGACGTCGGCGCACGTTACCGCCGCCACGCGACGAGTACCTGCTACTGCAGCTATCGTCTGGTAGATTTCATATAAATCTGAATGTGTTAAATCAGCCCCCTGTTTTTCTATATATATTTTTAAATACATTTTTTTTATTTAAATCTCACGTAAACATGTAAATAACAAGCTGATTGATTCTCCCTGTTTGTTTTTTCCCCTTTTTAAAAGAAATTATTGGTCAATTTTCAGTTTGTCACTGTTTTGTTTTGTTTTTTTACAATTTCTATGATGTCTGACCTATAAATCACTGTTATCAATAAAGTTGGGGGGGGAAGCAACTGCATTTATCTGCTTTGTCTTTTGTAGAAGACTAATGCCTTTTCAGTATTGGTTTATTATTATTATTTATTTATTTATTTATTGTGTATTGATTGATTAAAATGCTATGAGTAAATAAATAAAAAATAAAATAAAAATAATACATTTAAAAAGTTATAATAAAGTATAAAGTAGAAGTACAGAAGTATAATTACAATTTTTTGCAATCATTTATTCGTTAATTCAGCCTTTATTTATAGTGAGGAAATAATTGAAACCCTTTTTATAATGTCATCCAGTCAAACAGAAAAAGGAAAAAGAATAAACTACAAAAAGACACTGACTGAGAAAAGAAATGCCATTATAAAAATTATAAAAAAAAAAAAAAAAAAAAAAAAAACATTAAAACTTTTCAATTGGGAAAATTATTTAATAAATAATTTAGAATAATTAAAATGTAAAATAAAATATTGTTATATAAAAAGTCCTACAATTTTGCCACAAAAGTAGATAATTTGATTGATTAAAAAATATATTAAATATAAAATACAGTTATATAAAACGATTACAAGCATAGCTTAGGAGGTTTAGGATTAAATTTCTAAAATGTCCAAAAGATATCAGTGAACTGAATTTAATAAGGAACTGTATTTTCTTCCAGGAGTCAGATGCATTATAGTTAAAAGCAGCTTTCCCAAGTTTGGACCTGTAACTTGTGAAATGTAAAGCAAGAGCCTGTCAGAATGACCCCTGTAAGGGTCACATTTTTATATATTAATTGTTGCATTTTAATAGTGTGGTTTGTAAAAGTGGTACCTATTTCATAAACTGTTGTTTGGTTACCTCCAGTGCATCACACTTAATAGAATGATTACATGTTTTAAAGTATATGCAAGATTTTACTCTGCAAATACAGCTAATGAATAGAGAGAATAGAGAATTTTTTCACCTTTTCTTCTCCACCGTTTAAAGACAGAGGGACTTCTTTAATTTTAGATGTGGTTTTCACAAGGTGATGGGACAGAATTCTTCTTTTGTTTTTTAAATCAATACGCAGTCTTTCAAATCAATCTGCACACACACACTGCAACAATAACATCACTCTGACAAGTGACAACAGCTAATACAGCAGCAGTCATTCAGTCACGTCAATCATGACAGATCGCTGGCAGGTGATATGGATAAATCTTAAATCATAGTGTCATGGAGGGGCTGTAGCAGAAGAAGAAGAGCAGCTGCAGCAGTTGGAAGGTCGGTGGCTCGACGCCTGGCCCCTGCAGCCTACATGTCAAAGTGTCCTTGGGCAAGATGTTGAACCCCCAGGTGCCCCCGATGGCTGTGCCATTGTTGTGTGAGTGAGTGTGTGTGAATGTTTATTTCATGAGCAGGTGACCTTGTATGGTGGCCTCAGCCATCGGTTTATAAATATGTGTGTGAATGGTGCCTGTACTGTAAAGTGCTTTGAGTGGTTGCAAGAAAAGCCCTAAATAAGTGCAGCCTATTTACCATATGTATTTTTTTTATTATGATACTATTTTATATTGTGATAAAGTGCAAAAAAACAACCCAGATATAAATGTATATTGTGACCAATCCAATAAATGACATAAAACACTTCATGAACTTGAATGAATGAATCAAAATATTGCTGCCAAGCACTCCTGCTCATTGATATCAGAGTCTATAAAATGATGGACGTAGCTATGTAGTTGATGTTATCCAATGGTAAGTGGACTCCTGTTTTAAAGTCTCGAGTTCTGCATCTTTGCTGTCGCCATCTTGGATTTTTGGATCCAGATGTGACCATATTTGGACATGTAGGTGGAGCTGTAGAGGAGTGAGGGGTGGATCTGACCTACAGATTAAAGTGACCGCTCGTATACAGCCTGTCACTCAAAGACACCTGCCCTTAATTATGTGCAATTTTAAGCCTTAACAAAATGTAAATGGGTGAGTTCTATAAAAATTCATCTCGTGTACAGTTATCACAAATGTTGAAATTAACTATAGAGAGCAAAACTGTTTTTGCGCCAGGTTGTAAATATGTTTCTTTCTGCTCTAAAGATGGGTATTCATTGAGGATTCAATCCTTCTGGAGCTGCCCTCAAGTGGCCATTAGTAGAACTGCAGTTTTTGGCACTAAGGGCACATTATGCTCAACACTTGATATGCATACATACAACAGACTGTATATAATGATAGACACGTCTCCACTTACAAAACTGTACAACAACTGTACAAACTAAATGGCAAAATATCCCGGATACAGCTGCTGCCATCCTGCGCTGGTGGAGCTAGAGTCTGCAAAGTAGCAATCTTCTCCACTGTGTCATGTTCCCACCCAAACACCCGTTTGAACAATCGTGATCAGCACCACTGATCACAAGCACACCAATTGGCACACACAGCTGTCAATCATAATGTTAAACCGCCTTTTTATAGCACCAAACAAATCTAACTTTTATAAAAAATGAACACTTGAACATACATCAGCGTGATAAGAACTACTTAATGCGACAGACGCTATCTTTGGGAAACCTTTATTTGATGTGTACTTTGAGTTTTTAGTTTGGCTCATGTCCCATCCACTAACATTGAGGAGGTGGGCTTTATGACTGATCCTCCTGAGACCCGAACGTTTGTTTGGTATGCATTTTTAATTTCTCCTAGCTATTTGGGAGTAAGATCTGATAAGAATAAAAACTAAACACTGTAGACGATAACTAAGACCCAATGTCTTCGAATAAGACGATAATAAAGTCCCAATGTCGTCAAATGAGTACTTCCTAATTAACAACGTCTTAGTTTGTTCCTGTTGCTAAAATTTGTCAAATTTGTTGCCATATTAAACTACAAACATTATCAATCATAAATGTTTCAACCATAAAGTGTGATCAAGTTTCGGATCTTGTCCACTTCTGTGCCAGGATCAGCTGCAGACTGACTTGGCAGAGAATGGCAGCCATCTTGTTTTTACATTAATTAGTGTGTTGTGCTCTTACTGCCACTAGATGGCACAAAAAAGTGTCCACGATTGAGGACAACAGGTCTAAGTTAAGTAGAATCAGGAAATCAAAAATTGGATGTCCATATATGAAGATACAGGGTCTCAGGAGACTATACTACAGCCAGCCAAAATGCAGTGAACAAGATGTTTGGGCTTCACTTTTGGGGAGCACGTCATTTTGTCCATCTTTAATACAGTCTATGATATTGACAGGGACGGCGCCTTCTGTACATACTTTGTGTTCATTTTATTGTATTTGTGCACGTTTTATGAAAGCCTACAGATACAAGTGCAACTGGAAATCATGGGGGCAGCGTAGCATAGCCCAAGCGAGATACGACCATAGGACACGATGAAGACATTTTAAAAAATGGCAAAACCAAACCATATAATATACCATCCATCCATCCATTTTCATCCGCTTATCTGGGGCCAAGTCGCGAGGCGGCAGAGTTAGCAAAGTACCCCAGACGTCCCTGCAACGCTTTCCAGCTCCTCCTGGGGGACCCCAAGGCGCTCCCAGGCCAGATGAGATATGTAATCCCTCCAGCGTGTTCTTGGGATGCCTCCTGAGGCACCCAGGAGGCGTCCTGATCAGATGCCCAAACCACCTCAACTGACCCCTCTGGATGTAAAGGAGCAGCGGCTCTACTCCAAGCTCCCTCCAGATGTCTGAGCTTCTCACCCTATCTCTAAGGCTGAGCCCACCCACCCCACTGAGGAAACTCATTTCGGCCGCTTGTATCAGCGATCTCATTCTTGCGGTCACTACCCAGAGCTCATGACCATAGGTGTGTGTTGGGACGTAGATGGACCAGTAAATCGAAAGCTTCGCCTTCTGGCTCAGCTCCCTCTTCACCATGACAGTCCAGCGCAGTGCCCACATCACTGCAGAAGCTGCACCAAATTGCTGCACTCCCACAGTACCCCCGTCAAGACCCTCCGAGGGAAACTAATATAGTGAAGAGAATTATCCGTCCATATGTCGCAATGTATTTAATGGCCTCAGAGACCACCACCATCTACAATGCTACCACAGCTACCGTCGCCATGTTTTGTTTTTCAGAAACTTTTGACTCTGCCCTCTGGCGGCATCAGGTGGCTGTATCTGTGCCAGCATAAAGGGTGCATGGAAGTATGTGGGCAGTGATATTAACAATGTTGAAGTGAATATATCTATTTTCATACATAGAGGGAGTATAAATGAGCCTGAACGACTTCATTTTGATTTGCAAAATCTCTGACGGCTGATTTTCATATAGTGAAATGAACAGATACCAGTGGCCGCCTTCAGGCTGGGAAAAATTCACTCAAGTCAGAAAATGGTCATTAGTAATTATAAAATAGGCTCATAAATGGGCTAAATTATTCAAAGCTCTCAGATGATGATGATGATGATGATGAGACAAACTGCAGGTGTATGTGCAAATAGGAGTGGGGCAGGAACAGCATGTGATGTTATCAGGGTCAGAGGAAGAGGAAGAGGAGGGGGTTATGTGGACGCAGAAGATTGTATCATATGGATAAACCTAAACCGTCATGAAGGTTGCAGGCAGTAATAGTGATTGCTTCCTGCCGTATGTGGTGGTGGCCTCCAATTCAATTTCATAATGTGTATAGATTATTGTTACAAAGTCGATCTGCAGATTAAAGCTCTGCGTTTGAGACCACCACTAA